ACCCCTAAAGTTTCCATCAGCCCCTTTTCCCGCCTCTCCTAGAGAGGGATTCAGGGAGTTTAACACCAAAGGAAACCTTGTTGTTTCCACTATGGATGGTGACATTTCCTCTTTAGAAACCCCTTGCTGTATGTGTGGTGAGTGCATAACAAGTCTGTGCCCTGGCCTTGGGTTGCTCTCTCTCTGTGCCTAGGGGGGTCCATCCCACTGGAGCAGTAGACTCGAGCCTGCTCCTTTGCAGGCTTTGCACATGTGTTTGCACATGTCTTAAGAAGGCACTTTCTGGCAGAGATTTGGATGTTTTTCTGCCAAGACAGCTATGGAGGCTCTTTGCTGTGGCATGGTGTGCCTCCTGTGGGTGGTTTTCCTTCCTGTCTGTTCACATCCAGGTGTGCCAGCTCAGCCTGGCTGTGGCTCTGTGCCTTTCCTGAGGCTGAAGAGGCCACTTCTCTCCACAGGCTTCACGGGCGCAGTGAGGAAAGTGACCAGCAAGAATCCCTGCACAAACTCCTGACTTCTGGAGGACTGAGCGAAGATTTCAGAACCCCTTATCCCTCCCTCAGATCTAATGTTATTGAAGCTATTAATGAGATGCTAATTGAGCTAGGTACGGATGGGTCTGAATTGCTCCTGAGTGAAAATTCTTATGGGGTGGGACTGATGGTTCCCCCTTCTCTGGGTGAAATAAAACAATAAGGATGTGGGAGGCTTAATCTGAAGGAACCAAGGGACTGAAGCCCTGCTGCTCCCATGAATTAGTTTTAAGTCCTCTTTGGCTTATGGGGAGATGGGTAGATTGTGGAAGGAGCAATATGGGGGGCTGTAGGCTGTGCTCTTGGTCTCCTGGGAAGTCTTGAGTCCTGTAAAGAAGACTGTAAAATCCCTGTGCACATATAATCTGACCCTTGTCACAAAGAACAGTTTTCTTTTTCTGTGATTCTTGTGACAAATCAGGCACCCGACCCATCTTCTGAGGCCCAAGTTGCCCCTCTATTGAACTACAGAAGTGTTGAAGTTTTGTGCGTCTCGTGGTTATCTGGAGCACTGCTGACATAATCCCCTCCCCTCACAATGGAGTTTTCAGTACAGCTGTTGTTATATATAATGATAGTACAGCTAGGGAGCATGGGGCATTCAAGGGCCAGCTTCTTGGTTCCGCTCCACTGGCAAAAAGAACTGAGAGAAACACTGCTGCTGCTCTACCAGTGCTAATAACATTGCTTTAGTGAAAAACCTCTTGTTGCAGGACAGCCCTAGCAGCACAAGTGTTGCTTTTGCTGGCTGCCTTTACACCCACGCGTTCCTTGTGTTGCAGAGGGCACGACTGATAACATTGCAATGCAGGCCCTGGAGCACATCCACTCCAATGAGGTGATCATGACCATTGGCTACTCGCGCACGGTCGAGGCCTTCCTCAAGGAAGCCGCTCGCAAGCGCAAGTTCCAGGTCATCGTGGCAGAGTGCGCGCCCTTCTGCCAGGTAAGGCCCACGCTGGCTGAACCCTTTTGTCCCACATGTTCTTGCTGAAGTCTTGTGTCTGGAATCAAGGTGAACATTATGGAAATTCCTCTGCAGTTGAGAGATTGGAGATAGCTTATTATCCTACCCTAGCATCCTTCAGTTGAAGGGCCGTGTTCAGGTTTCATCACTTGGTATTTTTGCAGTTCAGACAAGAATTGAGTGCTGATACCTTTACAGTTACACTGCAGGAGCTATGTCACAGGGAACCAATTGGATTCTCCCTCTTTTTAGGGTCATGAAATGGCTGTCCGACTGTCTAAAGAGGGTATTGAAACTACTGTCATGAGTGATGCAGCTATTTTTGCTGTCATGTCTCGAGTCAACAAGGTAAGGAGGGCTCCACTGGGGGAGGGATTTCATGGCAGATTGGGTGCTTAGGCCTCTCAAATCAGCTGCAGGTCCTAGTAGTGATGATGTGTCTCTTTAATGAAGACAGAATTGTAATAGTCCCTGTTCACTGCTGGAGTGGAGATTCAGAGTCAGATGATGACTGACTGAATGGTGACAGGTTTTTCTGGCTTAGTAGCTACACTTACAAGAGAGCCTCAAAGGATTAGCCTCAGTTTTCAAAGGAGATGGAACAAAAAGCAGCATTTCTAAAGGGAAGAAACACCCCTTTGCCTGAAACAGAAGATGACTGATGAAGGGAATCATTAAGGTTTGTCTTGTTAAACAGACATGTTCTGTACTTTTAGAGATGAAAACTTGGCACCCCAAAATGGGGAGAATAAAAAGTACTTGTAACATACTAAAATGCAGCCACATCAGTTCTTATCTATATATTTTGAGCTGTTTTATATTACTCCCTCAAGCATAACGCAAGGGAATTTTTGCAGTGAGTAGTCAAGTTACTTGTACAAAGCTTACTTTGTAGGTTTGTAGAAAAGGGACCACAGCCCAGTTTCTGCTTGGTGTTCCCTGCAGTAGAACATACATTTGTCTCCTGAAGTTCTCTGGGCTGGAGTCATGCTCTTGTTAGAGAGGAACGTCTCAGTGCAGAGCCAGTGCCAGATGAAACAGATCAGGCATTCAGCTGCCCTAGAACTCCAGCTGCTGGCTGGCTCTACCGACACAGTCCTCCTCCAGCTCATCTGTCAGGGTCTGAGCCAGGAAGTGTTCCTTCCCCAGTTTGCTGTGGAACATGCTATCTAATTCTGATTTGCCCTTTTAAGGTCATCATTGGTACAAAGACAATCCTGGCCAATGGTGCCCTGATTGCTGTGAGTGGGACTCACACTCTGGCACTGGCAGCTAAACACCACTCCACTCCACTCATCGTGTGTGCCCCCATGTTCAAGCTTTCACCACAGGTAAGTACAGCAGCTCTTCAGGATGGCACCTGCAGGGGCTTTTACTTGTAGGAGCTTAGGGTGGAGAGCACCATCTGTCAGTAAATGGGCCATCTCCCCCATCTAGCTTTGTTACTTCAGAGAGGAGATCCTTACCCAAATCTGGCACACCTCAGGATCTCTTTGAAGCACCTCTGCCACATGTGCAAAGCAGTACATTGGATATCAGGATGTAGACCGCTGCGTAGGCTGATGGGACTGGCATTGCCACACTTATTTTTCATCAACCATGACAGATTTCAGTTTATACCATTAGTGTTGAAAGGCAGAGAATGTAGAATGAGACTCATTTTTACACTCAGTACTTTTTCAATATTGTCAATGTGAAGTTGCAGACTGAGGAAGTCACTCCTCCAGTTCACTAGGCTTTGGTAAGGGCAGCCATGTCATAGAAGGCTCTAACAGCTTTGAGGAAAAACCTTTCACCTGTAAATGTTAGAGAGGTTGTAGACACAGGCACTATGTCATTATTGTAAACAGACTTAATATCACCTGGCAAGTCCTCTTCCTCTGCATTAATTCCTTCCAGTGCCAGGATCTGTTTTCACAAGGATAATCAGGTAGGACTTTTTTCCTCATCTTCCTGTCCTCTTTCCTATTTAGTTCCCTAATGAAGAAGATTCATTCCACAAGTTTGTGTCACCACAGGAAGTGCTGCCATTCACAGAAGGTACTGGTTATTCTTTATACATCTGGTCAAGCTGGTTCAGATTTTTTTTTTTTTTTTTGTAACTCATACAAAAAATTAAACATCAGAGCATGTTATAACCTTAGAGAGAAAATCCTTTTTTACTGTCTTTGACAGAGAAGAGTGCTGTGAACCATCCGGTTTTAAAACTGTATATTATGTAGAGAAAAAGGATTTCTTTTGAACACTGTCTTGGCAGATTTGCTTCTGCTCTGAAACTGTTCTATTATAGGATAGTGATAATGATGCCCGGTAGGTAGCAGTTTTCTGTGGGACAGGGCAGATGCCCAGCACCAAGGGCACCTTCCGTTCTTTCCTGTAACTTTTTGAAACTTTGTTACATGATACAGCCATTGAAACAAACAGTGTCTCTGCCATGGGCTTCCCACACAAGCACCATCTTCAGAAAGGCCTCGGTGCCCAAGCCCATTTTCAGTTAGCAAAGTCTCTTTCAAAGCCCCATTTCTATGTGACAAAGGGTTTTGAAATGAAGGTAGCAGGCTTGGCAGCAGATTTTACTTTTGGCCTTCTGAGCATTTCTTTAAATAATAACTTTGGCAGTATTGGGATTGTCTTACGTATTGGTAGGGTTTTTTGGCAATTAGTCAGTCTACATCAGATGGGATCTGGGTTTCTACCAGCAAAAGTGACCAGAAACAAAGTATTGCCATTCATTGAAGATTGCTGTATAGCTGTAATTTGATGACATCAGTGAAGCAGTCAGAAAGTATTCAGGATGTTCAAGTACTGACTTCAGGGTGGCGTGTGCATAGCCAGTTTGTTTAGGGACTTCAGAAGCTGTGCAAAAGACTAACTGCACTTTGAGTTGCTTTGACTGATATTGCTGCTGTTCACTTCACAGGAGAGATCCTGGCAAAAATCAATGTTCACTGCCCAGTGTTCGACTACGTCCCTCCGGAGCTCATTACTCTCTTCATTTCTAACATTGGGGGTAACGCACCTTCCTACATCTACCGCCTGATGAGCGAGCTCTACCATCCCGATGACTATGAACTCTAATACTGCGAAGCACATCACTGTTCAGACTCTTTTATCTTTCTCTTTAGAAAGATACAACAGCTAATTAAAGTGTATGTTGCAAAGGCAAGTTGCTGTGGGGAGCCAGTGGGAATTCACTCAGCAACGTCTTTTCTACCCAAAGCTAAAGAAGGCAGAGCTCTTGTACAGGTTTAAATCACATGCTGTGTGAGAAACCATGTGGAGCTGCTAACCCACTTTGATTTTGAAATAGCAAGGCATACGTGTAACTCTGGGGCAGCTAAGCTGTTACTTCAAAGTCTGCTGCAATAAAGGCTGTTTACAGTGATCTCACTGTTAAGCACATTTTCCATATGCAGTTGTTTTGTTTATTTAACTAGCAGGAGTTTTACCAGTGTAGTCAGTTGCCTGCACTCACTGCATGATGCCGTGGCCAGCTTTACAGTGTGCTTTCACATGTAAATGTGGTAGGAATAGGAACCCATCAACAGTTGTCTTCAAAATGGATATTTAGCTATTTAGTTATTTCTGTGGGGATAGGTGGGGATTTAGAATCTCTCACTCAAGAACACAAACTGCAAGGAGTTGGAGAAGGCAGCTGTGTGTGTCATTCATTGCCAGGTTAAGTGTTTCTTGAGTCTAAGCTGGCCTATATATACTACGAAGCTGGTCGATCCTCATTCCAACCACTGCCATGAGCCCAAGGAGTGAGTTGAATGTGAACTTTATTAAGAAATACCTTCCAATTTTCAAAGTACTACAAAATACACTAATTAAAATTCCCCTCTCTATTATGCAGAATTATGCTGTGCTTGCAGAAAAGAAGTGCTTTGCTTCAGTAGCTGCAAGTGGCTGCAACTCCTTACACCCGGCAGTGCAGCAGTGACATAGCGCCCAGACTTCCAGCGCTATTCCTTAAGGTTGAAGATGCTTCTCCCGGCTCCAAGGGTGGGCTCCTCCTGCCATGTTCTCCTGGCTGGTCTCTGCTCCTTCGGTCAGTAGTCAGAGGAGAGCTTTGGTGACTGCACTGGCTCAGAACTTGGCTTCACACAGGGTAGTCTATCCACAAGATCATGGATCATACCAATGCTTCTACTGGTTGCAGTTTACAGTTTTAACTTTTTTTAAATAGGTTCTTTTTTTTTTCCAAATAGCTGCCATGCTCTTGCCATCTTCCTAAGTCTAGTTAAATTAGGTTTAGGCTGGAGGGAGAAAAATTAAGCACAAGTCATAACTAAGTAAATAAGTTTCAGTGTTTCCATACTTTTTGCCCTAATACAGTCATTCCTAAGTTAATATCTAATTCAAAGTCCCACCTGACTTTCAACAGAATCCAATTTAATAACAATAAAGCACAGTAACAGCAAAAGGGAGGAGTAATGATTTTGTTTTAAATTTAAATGTAACCTGATTTAAATATAATTTAAATGTAACCTTGTCTAGTGGAAGGTGTTTGTGGACATGGCAACAAGATGATCTTTGAGGTCCCTTTCAACCCAAACCATTCTATGATTTTATAATAAATGTTGCTATTCCTGTGCTTTATCCCCATTTTATAGCATCTTAAACTTTGGGAAAGTAAGCATTAGTTTAATTAGCATCTTTGCCACTAGCAGAATTTCAGAATTTCCATGCTTTCCAAATTTTACACTTCAAAACTGCAAGCACTTTAAATGTATACTTAACCTTAAGGACACTCTTCAAGTCAGTGTCACTATTCAAAGAATGTATGATAAGATCCTTGCTTAAGTGTTTATAGGACAGATGGCTTTTGTCCTAAAGTTTCATTTTATTGGTAACAATATGTAACAAGTCAAGTAATATAAGGCCAGTGGTGGTGGTTTCAAACAGGATGATCTTATTCTAGCACACATACGTGATGCGCCTCTGATAACCCAGAGCACGGGTTACCAGAGGTGTGTCCCACACAGTACCTGTTTTTCCTGCTGTAGATGGTCTATGTCTGCAAGAGGCAGCATTGAAGGTCTTCCATGAGCACACTGGAAGGGTAGCTTACAAGATGACAAAGCTTCAATAAGCCTGCAGCTCTCCTCCAAAGTCAAATGCTCGTTAAACTTAATAGCTCCTGAAAAAGAGACACATTCTTGCCCCTGCTGCCAAAGAGGACTCCACTTCTTTCTACAGCTGTGGTTTTCAGTAAAAACTTTGGGGGCATCTCCCAGAGCTTAGCTGAGAGGCTGCAAAGGCAACCCAAAGGCTTCAGTGTGGCAGACTTGAGGCTTGGCTCAGTTAAAGAGGCTGCTGTATAAGGAGATCAGCTTTTCACGGCTTAAACTTTAACATAGTCCAAGTCTGATGGACGGTAAGATTATTACATGTTGGCATTTCAGGTAATGTTGCAAGAGGCAAATGGGCATTTTGTGTGTGTGTGATACAGCTGAAATTGGAAACAGTTCACAAATCAAGAAGTATTAAACCAAGACAACAGTTAACAGTTTCACAGGCTTGAGTGGCTGGTGTCACTTCTGAAACCAAGTGCTAGCCCTGCCACTGGGTCCATTCTCACAAGTGAGCACTTAAAGGCATCCAGAGGAAATTCAAGCACAACATTAGGGAGTTATTCCAGAGGTGTTTGCAAACTTCAGCCTTCACAGATGCAAAAGACCATCTGCAATATGTTTTCAGCCTTGAGACTTTTTTAGACACAAAAACCCAAAACCTATTGACTGCCAATTGAAAACTGAGACACTGTTGAGAAAACAGACACTTCTGGTTCACATTTGCCCTTTCAATGTGATCTCATTGATACTGTATATGGCACAGGAATTGCAACAAGATGCTGGAGCTACTGCAGTCAAGACCAAGAAGGCCTGCTCATTGCCAGGTGGCTGGAAAGCAACAGTTCCCTGAGAAGACGTAAATTTTAACCACACTCCTTCCAAAAGTACTTGAAATGTTGCAGGCACACTTAAACTACGACTTGGGATACTTAAAGGAAATTAAAAATTTGGAAAGAGCGGCTAAGTGTTCTTTCCGGCATGCTTTCAAACAGATTGTAGCACCTTCCCCCTTGGCCCATCATAGAGCTGTTATTTGAATGGTTTAGAGCACACACAGATAAATGCATCTCAGAACTGTATGTTTCACATGAAGGGAAGTATGTTAGGCCCATACATTAATAAATTGGGGGAGTATTGTTTGTCCATGTGTCGGATTTTGGGTGCTGTTTAGATGGTCTGGGAAAAGCCCAAAGATGGCCTTGGGCCCCCGGGTTCGAAAGGACGAGAGGAAGCTTCAGATTTGTTCTCGGTCTCGGTGTTTATTAAATGCTTATCTAAAAGATTTTCTCTTGGCCTGACAGAGTTCTGCTCAGCAGTCAGCCATGGGCACACACTGAGAGCCCCTGGGGCGGTCGTCTATCTTTATACTTGGAGTTACGTATACAATATTTATCATTTTTCTCCAATACCCTCTACCCTTATTAACCAGTGTTCCCCTAGTAAGGTCCAATCCTGGAGTGCCAACTCCACCACAGAAGATGGAGGCCTAGAGGAAGAAGAAGAAGGAAAAGGGCACGCCCCAATTCCTCCATCTTACCTCTCTAGACCCCCCTGTACAGGGATCTTAAACCCTGTATCTCACACTCCAATTAACTTGTCCCTTCACCATTCACCCCAGTTCTGAGAGACTGAGATCCCACATCCATGAGCATTACCTTCTCATGCCTAAGATACAGTCTTTAACCCTACAATAGCTTCAAACACATCCAAACACTGTCCCAGGGAGGATGATGTGTAGAGACAAAGGTTTGGGGGGAAAAAAAAGCCAAAAAGAAAGAAAGAATGAAAGAAAAGTAGAGTTTCCCTACCATGACAGGCCTGGGAAGCTAACACCTTCAGAAACGTCAGAGGCAGTGTCCCTCGCGCTCCTCCTCTCGTGGTCTGCAATAGCTAAAAGCAATAAGGGAACATCATGTTACTTTCCATTTAATATGAGAAAAAAGAACTGTAACACAAAGGAAAGTAAAAATGAAGAAAGCTAGGGGATTATTTAGCCCACTCTCTCATCTGAAGCTCAACAGGCTCCCTTTGATTCACGCAGTAAGCATTGGATGTTATAGTCAACTCTAGAAGTAGACAGCAACTCACCTCAACTTGTTCTTGAATAAGCTCCTAGAAAGAAAAAAGGTAATGTCATCAATTGCAATTTTTCCCTTCCATGCCCCTACCCTACTTTGTTCATATCTGTGAATAACTTACTGTGTGACTGCCAGAATAAGAAAAAGTGATACTGTTTGTAGTACATGTCCATGGTGTAGAAGACCTAGGTGAAAATCCTGACCTCCCACTGCATGTAATCACTTCAGAAATTTCTCACCGTAAAACTGCAGAACATCTGAAACAGTGATTTTTAGAAAGCCCCACTGATCCCACTTATATAGAGATTTCATGGAAGCAACTTTAATGTTGCTGATACATAAATATTGTTATTACTTATTCATTTTACTGTTCCTTCATTTAATAATTTTTCTGTTCCTGCAAGAAGCATTTACTGTCCATTCAAGCATCCAGGTGCAGTAATCAGTTAAAATATCTTTGCTATACACAGTTTTTCTTAGCTTCTCCACTAGTCCAAGTCTGAAACAGTCTTCTATCATTTCAGTTATAGTTCAGTGGTTTCAGTTTGGGGACTATTTAGCTATGAAAAAGGGATGGCATTCACATTTGCCAGGGGACTTCATTGTCTCCTTCATAACAGAGATCCTGTAATTTCCTGGGCCATGAATACAGAACAAGACCCACTATCATAACTTCACCATATACACAGCTGACCTCCACAATACTTTTAGTGATAGGTTGTCTTTTCCGCCGTAATTCATTGGCTTCTCTTTCTATAAAACACATTGGCACTTTCCTCACAAGAATCAAAGAGTTGTTTGTCTCAGGAAATGATAATTCAAGACCCAAGTCCTCCAAATTTTTGTAACGGCATCTGAGGAAAAAAAACCAAGAGAAATAAGACATCAACCACTGTGTCTATGACTCCACAGCACATGTAAATATTTCTGTATTTCTGTCCACATACATGGGTTCTCATATCACTTCCTGTAACAGTTTCCCATCTCGAAATCCATGCCTCATGAGATTCCAAGTAATTTTGCCTTTTCAGCTTACATTCAGACATGTTTTTTCACTCCAATAACCGTGCATTTTTCATGTTCCACAACTACAAGATCTAAGAGTTCCTGTGTTATGTGAAGAGAGGCTTTGTTTCTAAATCTATAAATCTGCCTTTTCTGAAGGTGCACGAGATGTCTGGTTCAACATAAAAACATTCCAAATATTGAAATTACACAGCATTAAGACTACTTTAAGTCTAATCTAAAAGAACTGTGATTTCAATTAACACATATGAGCAAATTCTTAAAATGGAAAAAGTATTTTAAGAAATTTATGATGGTTTAATGAACTTTATATCCTGTTAAGCAAAGAGAATACAGGAAAGAACAACCTCTAGTTAATTATGACATATGTCAGCCTGTGGATGGAAAAATACACACAAAAATGAGACTTCCAAGACAGATGAGAGCTTATCTACAAAATGAAAACAATTGTAACAATATATACTTTATTAATTCAGGGAGTATTCACTTAAAACAAAGGTGGTAAAGGTTAGTTCTAGAAAAGAAATTCCTTGAGCAAAAAATAGAAAGAAGCAAATCTAAACTTACCTAAATCAATAATGAGAATAGTGCAATTATTAGCCTCCATATGAACGTGGCTTGTGAAATTCTATTTAAAAAAAAGAAGACATGTATAGCCTTCAGCAGGCTATACAGAAAGAAAGACAAAAAGCCTATTGTGAATTAAATTACAAAATCCAAGCAGCTATTGAAGTCAACTGGGCTTTTCTATTTTTTTAAATTATTATTAAAAGAAAAAATAAAGAAGGAAGTTCAAGAGAGTCAACAGAACAATGCATTACTACAATGCCTAGTAGATAAATAACAGAACCAAAGCTGCAGGTGAACCAGAGGTCTGGCTGAACGATTAAATTGCAAGCACAGCTGAAGTGAAAGGTCTTTTAGACAGGTTATTTTATTTTATTACACCAAACTTTACCTCAGAATACAGTCACAATCTGAGAGTAACAATAACAATAGAATTTAGACTTTCACATAATACTTTTAATTCCTAACTTTTTAGTAATGATAGTCTCAGAGAGCAATTGCCAAGGGATGAACTGCTAATACATACTGAAAAATTATTAAGTCACACAATAAACGTACTAGTAAGCTAGCACCAGTAAGCTTCTTGCTGAAAATCACAACTGGCATCCCTCTGTGCTGAATATTCAACCAATGTCCTTAGAAGAAACACATGCCTTTTTGAGTTACTTCCTTACTCAGTTTTGTAAAATGTTTGTGATTTACCTGATGAAAATAGTAGCTCTCATGATTTATTAGCTCTTTCCAAAAGTCTTTCATGTCACCACTTAAAAGTAGATAAAAAAGGAAATGCAAAAGGTTGTCATGGATAGAGAAGGAACATCTATTATGATTTAGAGACTACGGAAGCAAGGTGTGCTGGCAACAGATGGTCAGTGTTCAACACGAGTCCTCATCTGTATCTTCATGATTGTTTATTAATGATGTGGAAAAGAAGAAGCATGGTCAAGCAAGCAAATTTGTAGAAAGCACAAAATTATTTCGGTCAGCTGAGACTAGATAGAGACAAAGTTGAACTCAACCAGAATTTAAAACAAGTAGAAAAATAGAAGAAAAATAGAATAGAAATCAGTAGGATGAATGAAAAATGGGCAGAAAACCAGAATTTACTCCACCTAAAGACCAATAAATACAAATTATCAGAAGTAATTTAATCTATTTCTACTTTTGGCTGGCTTCTACATAAACAACAGAAATTCAAAAAATAACCTCCCCTACTCTGTGTCTTTGCCTTGACCATCCACACAGAAGCAGCTCATGCAAGCAGCAGTAGACAAAAAAGGAGACAAAATATCAGGTATGGATATAATAAACAGAAAACACGAGCACAGCTGCAAAGCTACTGTACAAATCAATGGGATTCTCCCACTTGGAATATTGTATTCAGTTTTAGCCATCCATTCTCTAAAGTAGATCTATTAGAAATGAGAGACATTCATAGATCAGAGCAAAAATAAATCAAAGTTGAAGAAGAGGCATTACAAATATTGTGATGTTAGCAACAACATCATTGAGAGGTGGGAACAAAAAAAAAATCCAAATATTACTGAAATATGATCAACACTAAGCAAGTGTATCCCTGTAGTAGGCAACAATCTTAATAAGGACTGAATCAGCAGCTGTTGAGCTTGCCACAGGAATCACAAAAAACAAAAAAGAACAGTAATGAGGTAATACTGACAGAACTTCATCTAAAAATTCAGAACAATGCACTGAAAAAACCTCACAAATGGATGTGGCAGGCAACAGACAAGGAAGGGGGGAAAAGCAAGTTTGATGAGTGTCCAATAGGTCTGCAATTGTCCAACAAGAAATCTGTGTCTAAACTCTTGAAGAACATAAGTTAAATATCCTAATTGTAGCTAGGTCACCATTCTGAAACATTTGGGAAACAGTGTTCATTAGTTACTCTTGGCAGTCACCTAGGAAAAAGGAATGTGTTTTTGAAGGATTCACAATACAGATTTTCCATATCCCATCCTCCTCTTCTCAGAAAGTGCCTGTAAAGTCAGTACCTAGGTCGACAGTCTGGGCACTGCAGTCCTTTGAGCACTCCCAGGTCCTGAGCCCCAGACAGGAGGAACTGTTGGAAGCTGCTTTGGCAGTCTTCTGGCCCACACATGAAGGTTTACTTTCCCAGGGAAATCAGAGCACATTGCAAGGCACAAAAATGGCACACCCCAGGGTTTTGTCTTGAGATGTTGTAACAACGTGCCTAAGAAGCGTATCCATTTCCCTCAGTACAGAGAGAGCCAACTGGGCTCTGCTCAGGAAAGAATCAACAATTTTTCTCCTGAGTTTCATGGTCACAATATATAGATATCTTCCTGATCAACAGAGCCATCCCCCAAAATTGAGAGCTATTTGTCACTACTAACCGTAGAAATCTTCTTTGTTCTTCAGTAACTTCAATCTCCAAAGGGGGAGAGATGGAGGATGACAGTATTTTCTTCTTGCCACATGCTGCAGCTTCCTTCTCATAGGAATCTGTGAATGAAACATTTAGAAGTATCCCTCTTAAAATATTTACGGAGGCATTACCCTTAATGACCCTCTGGTTTGGCATGTAATCCTCTGCTTGGATTAAAAAATGACCACAGAATGCCTTCTCTTGAAACTTGTGGAGGACTGGGAATGTCACAAACCAGACATCCAGTCTCTGGGGAAGGGTTGGTTAATGCCACTTTGTTTTTTCCCACCAGTTCCAAAAAAGAGTCACTCTAAATAGCAAAACAACCTACTGATATATTTGGTTCAACTCAGAGAGAACAATTTTTCCACAGAAAGTCAGATATAAATGGAGTTAAAATACTATTCATTAAGCATTTCTCCCTTCAGTCTTTACCTTTTTTCAGTACCTGACCAAAAGGAGCACAGTTCCTGGAACACTCGGCAGGAACTGCACAGCGTTTGTTGATGCAAGAGAAGGTCAATGATTTTTAAGTGCTTGATGGATGGCTATTGTGCTTTTTAACACTGAAACCAATGGCTAATGAGCTTACACAGAAGACTATTATCCCTTTGCAAACAGTCAGACTGTGGAAATTTTAGGCTTTAAGCACAGTATTCAGCTAAAAAGGAACCAAATGAACTAGAGTCTTTATTCAGCATCCCATGTCTTATTCTTCACAGTATAACCACACAAACTTATTGATGTTGTTTTATTTCCTCTTCATTGTTTTTCCTATCAGTCTTCCTGCTCTTTCATTATGTCAGGACTATTTTAGTTCAATAGTTCTGTGGGTAGGGAGCATATCTTTTATATTTGGAAAGGCTGTAAGAATTTTCAGCTGCCAATATTATGATTGCTACAGACACTGAATGTCTGCACTCTTCTAGGGATCAGGATAAAGATGTTAAATGGATAGATATCCTATTGGTTCTGTACATGCCAGAGAGCTCATTTGTACTTTTCTGTGCACTGATTATCTGTTTCTTACACCACCTGAATCCTCACCTGCAATCAGCTGCTCCAAGCGGATCCGTTCATGAGCTGCATGTTGGTCCACCAAAATCAGGAGGTTTCCATCTAAAAATGTACCACAACAGATGAGAAATAGGCAACTTTGTACCAGGCAACTGCAGGGGTCAGAAAGAATAACCACTTCTCAGAAGCCACATTTAGAAGATAAGTATCAGCTTGTTTCACAGAAACAAAGTGAGGAGGAGACTGTGTTGGCAGAACATAAAGTTACCACAGAACAGAAATTCAGTGATCCAAAATGGTGGTTAAATTAGGTAACTAAATTGAGTCAGAAACTCTTGTTTATTGACATGTTCATCTAACTTCAGAATGAGAGCTGAGATCACCTATAAACTGTTCTGTTTGACACTATCTTTTAAAACATTACAAAACCTACTGATTATGAATGCCTTTTTTGTACAGCTTCAGAAAGCTTCAACAATGAATATGTCCAGACACTGTGAACAGAGACTGAAAGATATTAGCAATTTGAGTACATCTATTTTTATAACATTAATCTGAAGGCGGTAGGAACACTCAACAATGTCCAAAATAAAGATAAAGAAGATCCAAGAAATTTCAAGCAAAGACTAAGGTTTTCCTCTACTAACAATATCAGCCCAAGGCAAGAAGAGATTACAAATAGGACAGTGCTCCCTCTGCAGTCCACTTGACAGCCACCTCAACTTCATGCTATGAACCAGTCTTACCTGCCTTTTTTTCCATTCCATTCCTAGTGTTAATTAAACAAGCGATAAATTTATTGTCCACTTGCTGAAGAACCTGTAAGATACTCATAAAACTCATTATAGGGCAGTACAATTATTTTTAAAATGAAGGCAAACAAAAGAAACAACAATCAAAATGGATCAAGACCAACAAATAGCTAGTATGATGACTAGAGGACTGGAAGCCACATCTTTCCTAACCCAAAAGGCCCAGCAAAACTGGACTGAGAAGCTACATAGTTATTCTTTATCAATACATTGGGGAACTAAATATGGAAAATGCAGACATTATTTAAGCTAAAAGATAATATTGGCAGAAGGTCAAATGACCATTAAGTGGTCACAAACCAGTTTATCTAAATGGATCTAAGAGAAAGTTTCAAATTTTAAAAAATCTGGATAAACTTTTTCAAAGATAATAATAAGGGCATGAGTACTAACTGTTCTAAGGTGAATGAAATGGCCATGTAGAAACTTCCTTGAGTTGGGAATGAAAGCTGTGCACAGTGACTCTGAGTAATTGATCTGTTGCTATCACCAAAAGAGAATGCAAACAACTTTTTTTTAACTTGCTAATCACCCGCAGAAGAAAGGATGCAGTTTTTCCCTTCATTTTTGATGCAGAATTTGCCTCTGTGACTTGATTCCACTTTCCCCTCAAGCATCAGAAATCAACCAGAGCAACATGCAATACTGAGATGAGGTGCACAATGCTTTCAGTATCTTATTGTTAGACTTCAAATATACAGATATGGTGTTATGGAGGAATTTCTCCCAATGTTACATAGACAGCTCACCCTGAATTCTCTGTTTCACAACATGTGCATTGTTCACCTGGTAGGTAAAAATTAATGGATGACTCTATTTCTTTGCAGGGACACAAGACTAATGATTCTTTTTATTCTTTTCCTGTTGCATGATGCAACATTTTCTGCTTTTAATCTTTGTAGAGAGATTCTCAAAATTGCTGTAGGGTACTGGAGGTAGTATTTTGTTTTTTCAGAGATAGAAAGTAGTAACTTCCTCTAGTTTTGCCTTCTTGAAAACGTAGAAAGGAAAACACAATACAGGTAATCACAGAAACATTCAGTAAGTTTTAAAGAACAGTTCCTATTATGAGAAAACAGACAAATGGTACCTTCTATTCTCCATCTTTCCTCTCTTGTCTTTGTGAAACAGAACCTGTTCACTACAGTAACTTTATTTATTCCTATTATTCATGCACTCACAACATAAGTAAGGGAATCATTTGAATCCTTGTCCACCATGGACATGAACATTACCATGCCTCACAGAGTCAGAACCTGCAATCTCAAAGTCAGCAGCCTGACTGCATAAGAGAAGTGTCAGCTGGACCTGTAGGCCTTTTGTCACTGGGATGCAAGAGAGGGAGAGAATCCACTCCGGCATTCCTCCCCAAGCAAACCATCGCATATGTAAGCTGAAGACTTATATTTACATTAGCTTTTAACACTCAAAACATTTGATTAAAAAACCACTGAAATAATAAAACTTGATGTTATTATGCCACTATCAAAAATCACTTTTAAGTGCAGACATAAATTTTAGGGTGAAATTTCAAGTTTTTCCATTAAAATTTGGATTTGATTTTGAAATCACTCTACTAAGGAATTACATGTCTAAGGTAAATAAAAAAGGAAGATACAGGGCACAGATTTAATAGAAATAAGAACTAAGGAAATGCTAAACAACAAATATAAAAACTGTACTTTGAACTATTATTTAGTTAATAGTGTTTCTAAGCAGCAGTAACAGGGCTATCTCTTGATTTTGATCTAATCATACTAGTCAAGTAACTTTAGAGTCACTTGCAGATAGCTGGATAACCATGAGATGATACCAGGATATGGCAAGACACACATGTCTGCTGGTATCACATATGGCCAAGAATTCTGCTAGTGCTTGTGAAAATTAGGAATGTGAACTGTTTTCCTGGATATTTCTTTCCTAGCAGGAACATCAGCAAATCCCATCTGCTGAGTAGGATTTCAGGGATGAAAGCTAGTAATAGATTATATTGTACCTGCATTGAATGAACCATGTCTTTGGTGAAACGATAAGGATACAAGATATTGTGAATTTTCACAGCCAGACTGTCAGCCTGACCGCTGGTCACATCAACTGCAATCTGTAAAAACAGGATTCCACATCAAGGAAAGGCTCAACAGTGTGACAAAAACCCCAAACACACAGAGCACATACTCCCAATGAACCATTTTAACAAAAACTAGAAATAACTCTGCATTTCACAAACCAAGCTTTCTATACAAGAATAACAGCAACTAAAAAACCATCTGGCAATACCTGTGCTTCTACCACCACGTATCTTTCCCATCTGGCTATTACCTGCTAATTTCAATGCATCCAGCTGATTCCAAGTAGCTATCAAAAGCTGAAGTTAATGATCAGCCTACGTGAGCTCTCAGGGGATGGCATTACAAAGGCTGCATTACCCCGGAATGAGTCAGAGCACACGTCACTGCAAGGCTGAACAGAAGTGTTCCCTTCCAGAAACTCACCAGCAGGTGGTTTGCACTCCATGCCTATTGTTCGCAGGTGGAAATGGTTACATACATATGTTTACACACACACAACATGAGGATTAAAGATAATGCTACCTCATGACAGCAAAGGAAGTTTTTATAAAAGCTCCAACATTGTTTCCCTCTCACATGCTGTAACGCTGCCAGGCTTTAAAAACAGCTATGTTAAAATACACTTTTAAGACCTGTTCAAACCTGGGTTATTTTATCTCTGTCCACAAAGCAGACAGACACTATATTACAATTTTGCCATTCGACAACTTCTAATTTTGAGATGACTATCTCTGTAGAGGGAAAGACAGTTTACAATGTTTTGGTTTTGGAATTATGTAAAATGAAAGATTAGCCTGATACCTGCCTCTCTTTGAATAAACCCACAACAATGACTTGCATCTAAACAGTCTGTAAAAACCAAAACTTCCAGGTCCATAGTGTAATATATCCATGGATAATTTATATGCAACAATCATTACATTTGCAATTTTGGACCCAATGTCAGAAAATAACAAAAATCTAAAATTATTCCTATTTCAGCACGAGATGCAAGGTAATACTTACCTCTGGGCAGGGAACAAAAACAGGATTATCCCATTCCAAAAGCAATGACTGGAGGGATTCCCCTTCAGCATCTAGGAAAGAACACACAGATAATAGAGGAACTACCACCATCTGTCAATAGAATGTTCACTGGGGACCTCAACCTCACTCAGGTATTATTTCTTTTTTTTCCTTCACAAAAAGAGGAGAGTGTACAAATAAATAATGGAACATGGCACTAGGCTTCTGTACCGTTTGCTTTAACTAGGAAGGGCAGTGTGCATCCTTCTGACTCCTAAAAATGCTACAGCACAATTCAATAGGCCTGGAAAAGGGGTGGAGGGATTGTAGGGAAAGAAAGACCTGTTTAGCTACCCACTCCCTCTGGACAAAGTTACATACCAAAAAGATTATTTCATCCTTTCCACTCCAAAAAAAAAAAAGTGTGAGGATTGAAGCTATTTTTCACATTCCAAGGCTGGAATGAATACAAAGAAGTGAGTAGGTAATTATTCTTTAAACTCATGACATAATTCAACAAAGAACTGGGTATTTCATCCTGTAAATAAGTATTCTTTAACCTGCCTTCAACCCAAAATTTTTTTTTCCAGTTCTAGATCTGAGATGACTCACACAGTCCCATTGTTAACAGACCTTGAGTAATTCTGGTTCCTGTTGGGACATCTGGGAGAATTTTTTTATTTGTTTTTACCACAGAACACTGTGTCCTGGAAAGCTGGCCCTACCTCTCAGATTCTGGCTTGTCTGAGTCTTCTCTTTCTGAGGTCTAGGAAGGAAGGGAAGCACAATCTCACTTCTAAAGGGATGGCATCTGAACTGAAACCCTAAACAAAGAAATAAATTTACTGCTGCTAATAAGCAGCAAGCAAAATTACTAAAAGCTATACATCTATCATATTCTTATAAAGGAGCATGTGCTTAGCCCTGTAAAATTTCGAGTATCGCACAGATTCTGCAACCTGACATTGAGAAATAACAACACATAGTAAAAAGCTGAGAATTATCAGACATACACACCTTAGGAAATGTAAAAATATTACCATGGTTTCTGCAGGACTGTATGTAAAAATTGGCTGCTGCCTTAAACTTGTAATAATTATTTCCAGAATTAGTGCAACCAGAAGTGTTTTTTCCCCAAAGAGAAAGGATGCACATAGTAGTCTATCAGAGATCAAAACATTGTTGAATTCCCTCTGTTAAGGAGCAGCAAAACTGTCAGTCTATCACCATTCCTATCAATATTTAATACAGTTATCAGGAATTTGTAAAACTGAAAACTACAAGTCAGTGAGCCCACATGAGGTAACAGAGTTAGTCCAACAATATGTTCTCACCCACCCAGAAATGATTTAATATTACAAACTTGTATTGTTATCAAGAGTATTAAGAAAAGTGGCTCAGATTTCCAGCACGATGGTAAACATTTCACCCTTCCTTTGGTACAATTCAGTCTTCTATTCTTTGTGAAATAATAATGAATTAATAAAGTTCCTTTCTACCAAGAAATTAAGGGTGTGCATTCAGGAAAAGAGGCAGAGTGATAATGCCAAAGAAAACGAGCTGTGTGCTGATAAGCTCAGTGTGAAAAGGCTCTATAAAATCTTGGGCCAGTCTATAGACTCCTGACTGCTGGCTCCATTCCAGTGAGGACTAGTGACCCTGGGGACTGAGAATCCTTTCAAGAATCCAAATGGGCAGCCCAGCACTGGAGAGTAACTCAGCATCCCATTGTCACAAAACCCAGAGGAAAGGACAAAATGGCCTGATGTAGTTCCTGCTAAACTGCGGCAAATTGAAGAGTGCTGCCTAATTCAGACTCTGGCATAACTTTTATAACTATTGTCATGAAAAGACAATATCTCTCAAGTTCAGGGAAGAATCTACCATCTGTAACAAAACAAGTCCAGTATTTTATACATGTGATAGACAAAGAGTCATCTCCCTGGTGTTTTTTTGA